CTTCGTTCTGCGAAAATAATATAAAGAATCTCACCCCTTCGCCGTCAGGAATTATACTATTATTTACAATGTCGTGCATTGCACATGTTCGAGAGTTTAGAAATTACATCTAAACGATTCCGCAAGAGTACAGCTACCTTTCACGGCAGTTGAGTGGTGTATTGATATCGGAATATACCGACTCGTTGACAAATATGTACAATGAGTTATAAAAATATTTGATATGTTCGATTTCGATGATTAATTATGTAGGAATGTTGGGTAGGCAGCAGAATAAGCAGTGACGTAAATATAAAGAAAGATTTATTTTAAACTAAAACTTATTCTACTCGCTATCTCTCAAAACTCTATAACTGACTTTAAAACACTCCGACATACTCTGATACTCTCTCTGACTCCGAAACACACTTTGACCCTTTTTTTTTTTTATTTTTACGTGGGGAAAATCTTCGAAAGGTACCCGACCCCCTTAGGAGAGGTGGGGTTATGCAGGATTTTTACCCACTAAAACCTCCACGATAACCAGCCTATCGCGATAGTGGAGCGCCCTGGACTTCGCGAGCGAAGCAATTGCCAGGACGCCCCCGCGAAACACATCTCAAGGTTCCCACCCGGCGCGCTTGGGAACACGCACCGCAACCTCGCGCATGCAGCATACACGTAAAACCGAAACGGACCCACGCGTACCTCCATACACATATCTCCGTACCTATACCGGCGTCGCGCGGTGGCCGATGGTCCATCCTGTCCTCGGTTCTGGGACGGGAGGGAGACTGTTCCCCATACCAAAGGCGCAGGGTCACTCGTGTGCGCGAGGTCTCGCGCGTTGACCTCTCCGGGGGAGTGCTCGGCGCCTATGCGACACCGCGCCCGCAGCCTCCGTCGCCCTACGCGCGAAGAATCCGCGCTAACCCGCGCGCGCGCGTAGGCCCTTTCAGCGGCCTCCTTCTGCAGCATCACCTGCTCGCAGAACGAGGCCATCGTCTTCCAAGCGCTCCCGCTCTCCACCATCTTCGACGCGATGACGGAAAGCGAGAACCAACCCAACACACTCTGACCATTTCGTGTCCTTGCATTCTTATTTAAACCCTTGCACTCTGTCTTCTTCCATACGCTCTCTTTCTCAATCGGTCGGTCACGCATCCTAAACACGCAGACGCATTCCTAGGTTTTCACGCTTCACTTGCATTCCGCTCTGTCATAAACATCCCTTACATTCGATCCTCTTGCACGCGGTCACTTTCGTTCTAAGCCCAAACACTCTTGACATTCTTTCAGGGTCGTGCCTATTCCTTTCCTACAATTATAAAAAAAACAAATTCGAATTTGTTTCACATTTTCAAGTTGTTTCTTTAAATAATCCCACTACTTATTTCTTATATTGTCTAAATGTCGTACTATACATTGAATTGTCTCGATGTATCTAATTATATCAATTTGATGTAATGTCAATTATTAAACAAGATCGCATCAAATTTTGGCGTTATAAAAGTATTTGGACATTATATAAAGTCAATGCATCCGGTGTTGTTGCATCCCGAACACTGCAATTCGCTCGGTGGAAGTTTCGCGGGGTTGTAAGGCCCGTTTACGCGGATGCGGCAATGTTGCTGGGATACGGCCTACTCTAAATTAAAAGAGCTAGGCCTGGTTACGGTTGAATTGCAGAGAGTTCTAACGTGTGACTGTCTCCTGCGTTAAGTTGATAATGGATCCTGGATGATAGTCTGGTCGTGATGATTGTCCGGCCTTCTTGGAATTTTTAGGAGAACTTTCTTGTGACTGCTTTGTCGGTGGTTTTATGAATTTCGTCTTTCTACCAATTAGTCGGTATAAGATGTAAAAGGTGGGTGTGTGTCATTCTATTGGTTGTGAATAATATTGGGGGTGTATGGTAGTTTAAATAATTTGGGTCCTTGTTACGGTTTACCCAAGTGGTGGCTTGGGTGACGATGAGTGTATACAAGTCAAGGGACGCTGGCAATAAGGACATAAAATAGTCCTCCACTTGACCTGGGACATTGCGGTCCTAGGGCCGCAACAGGTGTATCTATTTTTCCATTCTTGTTCGAGAATCTTATTCTCCTCGATATGTCTTTCAATCTTGCAATTCGTCGTCTATATTTATCTAACAAGTCGATCTCATTTTTCAATTTAAATTATCCCATAAATTCTCGATGAGGGTTGAAGAAATAAATATAAGATTTTGTAAAACTTATAAAGTTCTTTACAAATAGATAACTCTTAAATTATTTAATCTACATGTTTATCATCAAAATCGTTATCCTGGCACTATTTAAACGTTTCTTCCAATGTTTATAATAATTATATCGCGATAAATTTTCGGCACATATTGACTTAAGAAGAAACAGTCTCTATAACTTGGACCCTGTTTTCCGTCGCGTTACGATCCTTGAACGGTCAAAATCGAAGTACCCAAATGACAAGACATCGAAATTTTCTAACGTGCCGTATCATCGTTACGTATTGTTGGAGGTGAGCACAAGTCCACGTGCGCGGTACCCTTCGACATCGGCGAGCTATAAAGCCATAAACGGATATTTTCCAGACGCGGTTATTTTTGACAAGGTCATGAACACGCGGGTTATCTTCATGCATATCAGCCTGACTGAAGGGTTTCCTCCACCACTGTTTTCGGTTGAGGGACGTTTTCTTCTTTTTAGGGTGACCAATTCGCAGACCGAGGAAATCAGGGCACCGTTAGTCCTTTAACAAACTCTCAATTTTCCTCAATTCGATCACTCGGAAAATCGAGATGTCAGTCGTTCTTGCGTCTTTCAGCTTTCACGTTGTTTCACTATCTAACATTCGACTATCCTTAAATTTTTCGTGAAATTCATCGAAGAATTCAAACGCGATGTGGCCCCCTGTAAGATATTATTAAGGACATTGCTCTGAGTAAGCTTCAAGAAGCTCTAGACACCTCTCGTTATTGATTAAAAAATTATTAATTATTAAAGTCAAAATATTTTCGGAAAATATACTTGGCAAAATCATTAGTAGCATATCAAATACAAGATCATTAAAGCTGTCTCCTCCAAAGTCAATTTTTACTAAATTTATATTTAAAATATAAAACTATGAATTTGTAACGAGTATAAATTTCTTTCTTTTTCTATTTAATATGCAATGTTATTGGGATTTGGGGTTTTGCTTATTATGAAAGAACGACAAGGCCTTTATTCTTGGCTTGTTCTTTATTAATCAAGGCAGGTAGTCGAAATTCTTATATGCAACTCGAGAGTCGAACGACGCGGTTACCTCTCTAGGTCTGTCGCGTCGGGCTTGAATTCTTCGTTAAATTCTGACGGGTCGTACATCTGCAACGCGACGCTTCAACTAATTAGCCAGCTTATCCGCTTGTTCGTTCCCTTTAATGCTACAGTGGAGTGATATTCGCATAAACACTACCCGATCATTATCACAGCTATTTGACTTAAATGTAGATAATTTACGTTTAATTTGAGTAATATATTTGTTTATCTTAACACTATTGAGGTTATGGTAAGTACATACAGACTTAATAACATGTTGGATTGGACATTTACCGTATATCGTTTTGCGAGTATTCCATGTTTATATAAGAATATACATTGCTCACTAAAATTCGACCTTTATGGAAAACAGATCGGGAGACTAAAACGAGATTTTGTGTCCCGTACCGTCACTGTGATCTCTAATTAACGAGACGCTTAATACGCTTGCACATGCAAGGTTTTTCACTTACAAGAATTTGACTGTTATTCTACTCTTCTACATACAAATTTGGTTACAAATATCTCGTTGAGATATAGCATAATTAACATACAATCCAGAGGTCGAATCTAGATCGACAGAATCAACAGCAATATTTTATTCGCGAAAGTCAAATGGAGCGTTTAGGAAGTTATTGATGGACACTTTGAGGTTAAAAGTGGGATCTAAGTACTAGAACCCAAAGGAATGCATTTTATCTATTGCTCTTTGCATATTATTAATAATTGTATCAGGATCTACGTATTTATAGCTTTCGTTATTTGCCAATTTGGATTTAAAAATGTTTGTTGTCTTCTAGAAACGTGTCAAAGACGTCTGGCAATTAATTTACGCCGTAAATTTCTTACTTGTTTTTTACTTAACTTGTCAGTCTTTCTTTTATTCTCAAGGAACTTTTCGATAACTGCTACTTACTTTTTATAACTGGTCCAATAGAAAATATTTAGCTGGTGTTGCTACTCTTTAAAAGCCGCTCTGTACCCTCTGTACACTCTGTACCCCACATGGGAACTAGATTTCTGTAAATTTGCTTTGGAACATTCCTTTCTTTAGTCTAACATTTAAAAATTGGCTTTTCTTTCGAGATGACTATTCTTTTATACTTATCTACCGCTGTAGCGTGGAAATCTTTGATAAGTGTCCGATAGAGTCTATCCATCAAATCACGATAAGAGTTCCCATCTATTTTTATAGGTGATGTTTCATTGCTTTGTTTTTTCGTATAAAATTCTTATTTGACCTTAAGCGAAGCAAGACATGGTCAAATCCTAACGAGTTTTTCCCTTATAATATTATACATACATTGTGTACAATAATTTGACTCTGTGGGTGTGTTCTGCATAAACAAAATATTATTGGTACTATACTGAAAAAATACTTTATTATTTATACTAAAATTAAAAAGTATTCAACATTTTATTAACACCTACGATAAATGTTAGAAGGTTCCATTGCTACATACTAAACATTTTCTTATGGTTACAGAGCGTAACTCTAAATTTTGTGTACGTAAATTTTTAAATTACATTTTTTTTTTTCGTTGTACTGTACTTTTTCGTCGTTCCTTAGATACTGATAAATAAAAATAACGCAAAATAATAACTATTTTCGATTTAATGATTTTGCTGAATGCTTTACTGTGAAATGTGGCAATACGTATTGAGTATCTAACAATTTTAAATAGCGCAAATACTTTATAATACGATATTTTAAATGATTTGCAGATCTATTAACAGATGCGATAGAAAACCGGCTAGACACGTCGAAATTGATATCAGAGGTAAGACACTTTTTCCTATATTTTCAAATGTCTTATTTTCACAAATTTAACTTAAAACGTAGGTTTTTACTATTATATTTAAAAATAAACAAATTCTACTCGAACTATTAACGAAATTAAAGTATGTTCATTTAAATAGACTCACATTTTGTAAATTACATGACACGATATATACGTAAAACGCAGTTCTTTCTAAATAATTTCTAGGTAATATAATTAAGATTCCTTTCTCGCTGCAATAATAAATTCTAAGTTAACAGTGGTACATGATTTATTGCAGTTAATTGTCCGACTATTGTAACTTTGTTTTTCTACGTATTGTACGCTTTGTATGGTTACTCGAAAGGTGAAGTATAGTATGCGAATATCATTACAAGATTGCATCGTATAATTATTATCTTCCAAATTTAAAATCTTCAAATGTCTACTTTCAATGTCGTACTTGGAAATATGTATATTAGCTTGTTCGTAATCAAACCAAATAATTCACTATTAACTCGCTTAGTTAACTTTTCGCTATTTTAAAAATTTTTTACTCCGGAATAGTACACACCATTACGCATCGTTTTTAATAGCTCTGCGTAGACAATAATTTTACGATATTTTATCTCAAATGATATGAAAAATAAAATTTATTTGCTAATATTTGCAGGTAGTAAATCATTTGCTTTAAAAATTATAAATTTGTTATATATAAAGAATAAAGAAAACTATTATTTTTCACAACTTAACGAATACAGTTCAAATGAATTAATTATTTAAATGAAAGTTATTTATTCGCACATGAATTTAATTTATATTACATTTAGCGAATACTTTTGTCATTGCCATGAAGATACAGATAACTATATATGTCGATAGTTATTTCAAATTTTGACGAATCATGAAAAATCTATAAATATTTACTAATATTTGTTATATTTGTGGATAATTCCTTTCCAAAAAATCCATAGCTATTTAAAACGACGATGTACATGAGTAAAGATAATGAAAATGACATTATACGTATATTACAAAATCTAAGTTTCGAAGCAGATTTAATATTCTTCAATTTAATGAGCGTCCGATGAACGTTAAAATGCACTGTGTACTTCTGAAGACATTTGTAATTTGGGAATGCAAAAATAATAACAAATAGTTGACTGAACCATAATTTTGTCAAGTTAACAGTTGGAAGTATTATTTAATATTAATTCTGCGTAACTTTATATTAGTTATCTGTAATACACGACTGCCAACATTTCGATGTAGAAAGTGCTCGTAGGTATGCTTTTCTCGAGATTAAAAGTAATGCGTATAATATATAATAATCGGAATATTTTACTTACAAAAGGAATATCGTATTTGTTACATCACTTTTGGACAAACGTAAAATATAAATATGTAGCGGCTACCGGTACGAACAAATGACAATTGGCGTACGAAGGGTCGAAAGAGTTTATAGGACGCGTTGTCGCATAACTGTTTTTGAAGAAGCCATCCTTCGTTTTAGCAAATAAATTAAAGGCTTTATTACTGCACGTTTTGTTTCTTTCGGGACTTATTCAGTTTCAGCCATAACAGCTGACACGAGTACTATAAACCTCGAGGGCCTTCCGAAGGGGCCAAAGAACAGGACCAGCAGGCGACCTTCGCCGCGTCATAGACCGAGGGCCGTACAAAATCCCTCTACTTTATCAAATTTCCGTAACCCCGCCCACGTCCCCGAAAAATGCGTCAAGGGCGCAAGGAATGGGGAGCGCGATTAGTTGCCAGAAAAATAGTTGATTGGTTATACGGCGTTAACCAATCAGGTTGCCTTCCGGCATCACCAGGCTTCTCGGACTTGAAGACGAAAGCGTCTCCAGAGTTGTCCGAGCGGTGATCAAGTAAACATCGAACGGTCAGGAGAACTTGTATATATCGATAGTAAGAAATAAAGTCTTCACTTCCGACTGGAGGATTCAACGCGTACACTAGGTAGTGATCATTTACCAACGCAAACCTACAATCCTTCATTGGTGATACCGTTGTTTAATGGAGTTACAGTGCGTTAAAAGTGTATAAAAGAAGATGGAACCGCCGAGGACCCCATTGAAAAATGCACCCGCCAGCGAGCTACCCGCAAGTTCAAAGAATCACTGGGTCAGAATCCGTGTTCCACCATTGTGGCCGAAAAAACCCTCGATTTGGTTTATGCAGGTCGAAGCTCTGTTCACGCCAAACGATGTCACTGACGATACGACTAAATATTATTACGCAATGTCGGAATTAGAGACCAAGTATGCGGTAGAAGTAGAGGACAATCGACAATCCACCCGATCGAGACAAGTACGAGACGCTGAAAAGGGAACTGATCCGCCGGTTAACGGCGCTAGAAAGCAAGAGGATCCGGCAGCTGTTAGAGCAAGCGGAAATAGGAAACCGGACCCTCTCGCAGTTCTTAAGCTACATGCGAAGCCTAGCAGGAACCACGGTCTCCGATGAGATTCTACGAGGCCCGTGGTCTGGCAAGCTCCTGTCCACGGCGCGCGCTATATTGACGTCACAGGCAGACCTACCGCTCGACAAACTGGCGAAGATAGCTGACCAAATCCACGCCGAAGTCACCAGGCAAATGAGGGTCGTAAGTACCGAGCTCAAGAAATCGCAGAAACGTCGTCATCGCGCTCCAAAGACCGACAGACAGCATGGTATCGCCGCAGGTCGCGATCGAGGAGCCAGAACAAGAAGGAGCAATCATCCAGGTCACGATCGACGGGCCGGAACCAGGAGAAGCAGTCATCCAGCCAGGTCTGCTGATACCATCGAATGTTTCGGGAACAGGCGATAAGATGCAAGTAACCGTGTAGCTACTGGCCATCGGGAAATTGACCAACCCGACACTGAACGCGGCAGACAGTGACGAACTGAAGCGCCACCTCTTCGTTACGAACAAAGTAACGAAGAATACCTCATCGACACCCGTGGGTCCGTACATCAAACATCAACGTGAGGCTACGCAGAACGTTCCAGTGGAGGTTCGTCATTGCGGACGTGGCAAAGCCGATCATCGGGGCTGATTTTTGGAGGCACTACAGCCTCATCGTAAACCTGAGAAACCAACGACTCCTGGGCCAAACTACGTCGCTATAATCCACCGGCAGGATCGGAACAGAAGAAGTCGCATCCGTCAAGACTATCGTCGAAAACAAAACATATCATCGGATCTTGGCGCATTTTCCGAATACCACGCGACCAATTACGACCCCGTAAATGGTAAGGAACAATGCAGTACATAATATCACCATCACTGTCGGTGCATCAGTCTTTTGCAAGACGCGTAATCTACTCGCAAAAGCGTATGAAATCGCACGAATCGAGTTGAAGAAACTGTTACGCCTTGTGCCACGTCGTCCTTCGAGGTGTTCCACAGGAAAGGTGGTTGAAATCAAACAACTCTCGAATGTTCGTTCTAAGTAAGTCGAATCGTTCGGATGATAGAAAGAGTCGAAATATTAAGCGTTCATACCTATTGAACCGTGATATCAATAGGCCTTTACAACAAGTAACACAATTATAATGTACCGTAGTAATGTATAATTCGCGAGTGAAGGTTGAACAAAATGTAGACTCCGTATGAGTTGAAGAAATGCTTAATACTACTTTATTCTTTAATTTGTTCGTCTTTTATACGCAAAATTTTGGGATGTGGTTCCAGAGAATGGGAAAGGATGTTTATGTTTGTGGGATAAAGTTAGTTTTGGGGGTTAAGGTAATACAGCTGGTTTTGAGCGTGGCGTGGGAAATCGAGATGGGGCATTTATGAAAAAAGGGGTAGTTTTAAGATAATACATCTGGTTTTGGGTATGGCATGAGAATTGGGCAGGACGTTGATGATTTCGGATAGGGGAGGATAGGTTTGACTTTAGGATTTTTGGGGGCTACTACACCCCCCTTCGAAGAGTCGCTTTAGATCCTCGAAGCGTACAATCTTCTCCGTCCTTGTACTGAGTAGTTCTTCTAGTTGTTATGGGATGAATTCTACAGGTGGTACCGTTAGAGGCGCTGATGGCGGTATTGTGTATGTTCGACTCTGAGTCAGTGCTGATTTTTATCTCGGTACAGCATTTTCAAACATATTGTGCCTTTGGTATGATTTTTGAAATAAATGAGGGAAAACCTATTTTACGAAGGGTATAACAGGTAATTAATCCTAATGGTATCCATCCGGCTATCTTCGGTACTTTATAAACTATTTCTGCTACTGTTAATATCCTCCCATGTGTTTTTATGTCGTTTAGCTTTGTATTCATATTTTCCAGAGAGTGTTGAAAGTCGTTGAAGTTTAGAGTAACTTTAGGTTTGGGATATAACTTTGTAACAGTTGTACCTCATCTTCCGTAGAGTTAATCTGTCGCGTCGCGAATGAATTTTGGGGAAATTCTGACGGGTTGCAAGTCCATCTCGTGATTTCGTTATGATGCTCGCCAAATTAATATTGGACAACTGTTTCAATTACCACAAGCAGAAGGAAGCACTCGGCTGGAGTCGAACGATAGACACTGAAATCGGGAATTCGTCAAAGATTCTTCCTTATTGACTAAGTGGACCAAGTCGTCCACTTAAGTGGTTCAAGTTCCCTTAGTCCACTTGAAGGAAGGAAAGGTCCTCCGAAACGAAGACGGTGATGGAGAGAACCCTTTCCTTCAAGGTGAGGTACGCGAGGACCACCCACGTCCTGGTGACCCTTCCGAAAGCGACCGCTTAGAAGGAAGGAAAGGTCCTCCGAAACGAAGACGGTGATGGAGAGAACCCTCTCCTTCAAGGTGAGGTACGCGAGGACCACCCACGTCCTGGTGACCCTTCCGAAAGCGACCGCTTCGGGTTCACCCGCCGTTTATGACCCATCGCTAGGGCCTGAAGTTCCTAACGTATGCGGAACCCTCAAGCCTATTATCAGCTAAGTCTTAAGTGTCGTCGCTCAATTTTGTTAAATTAGGGTTTTCGCGGATTCTCGTGTTCCGCGACACGTGAAGTCA